CCTCTTTTCTTTCCCTCATTCATTAAGGTACCGCGACTTCTGTTGAACAGATTTTAATAAAATTTTATCGAAAAATCAATCCAAAAATTAGATTTCATTTGACTATAGCCTCATTAAAATCCTTCTGGCCAATTTTGAGAAAATTAAAGTTAAACATCGAAATTATCACAAAAATCGGCAAAATCCTGCCAAGCCAACAATGGTTCGCACTTCTAGCATTCTTTCTGTTGATCCCTGCGGCTTACATTTTCACTTAACAGGAAAACATATGAGACAAAAATTCAAGAATGAACATTAAGCTTCCGAACGATATGTTCAAAATTTTCGTGCGACGTTCCAGACGAGAACGACAGGAAGCTGAACAATATGCGACATTTACGCTTATTCTTCGTGTCTTGTTTTTAATTTCTAGCGCAGTTAGTATTGATTTAAACAAGGAAGTGTAAGCGAGCCGATTGTGCACCGTTCTTTAAGCCACCAAATAAGCTTTTAATCGACGCCAGAAGATATCCCGATTATTACAACTTCTACCGGTTTAAAATCAAAGCTGCACAGTTTGTTTAGAAATGGGCGTGGCTACAACAATCCTGGGGAGAAAGGAGGCGTGGGTTCTAACAATGGTACCAACCATTGCAAACGAACTCGCTTCATGTTTTTGGATAAATTGAGTGATGTACTCTCCTCACTTTTATGTTCAACCCACGTCTAATAACTCCTTCTTTAGTGATTTCGCGTGCACTTCAGAGGTGGTTAAATGACATGTGTTTGAATAATTGTAACTATGAGTAAAAGTTGCCATTGCCGGGGAATGCCCACTAAGTAGTTTCTATAAGGCGCTTGCATCGCTGTTGGTTTTGTTATTGTGGTGACTTCAGAACGAAGAGCCACAACACTAACCATCAAGTTTTGACGACTTCCCTCTCTTCTAATTTTCAACGCTGAATATATTGAAGTGACTAGTTAAATGATTATTTCTTCGTGTGCATACGATTGTTCGTTAAAACTTCAGGGGCCGATTAACGCGTTAGCGCTAGAATTTTTTTTCTACTTTTTGGACCAACCCTTATTTTTTTGTTACCACCTTTCACTCCATTAGGGGTGGTTGCCAGGGTTTGCACCAGGAGTTTTGTTTTCCAGGAGTGACCCCTACGATAGGCCATTCCAAATTATGAATGTAAGTCTTCGATAACGGAAGTAACAGTCTCAAAAGAAAGGCTAAAAGTAGTAATGATGACGTGCAAAGTTTGGGCGATCTGCGATGAGGTTTAGGGGTCGCGCACGGGGCTTGAAGATATGGCGTCCTGGTGCCCCAACACTGAGCCGCAATGTTTAGGGTGGAGCCACGATTGGTTGACGAGGGTGACGGGAGGGAGTCTGCGTACAGTGAGTACGCATAGGCACTGCTACCCTTTGGACCAGATTGAACTGGGCCCAGTGTTAGTCTTGTGACCACGGGCTTAAACGCAGCATTACACGGCACCCGCGCTGGAGGGACGACGTGTGGGAAATCGATAGTTCCTATGCCATGCTGTAATATGAGGCACTTAGCTCTACCCGTGGCCGAGAAACTGCACATAACATTAAAACCAATCACTAGAAAAAGACGACAAATGACGAATTGGCGCCTGTAGTTATGTAATTTTGACTGACCGCACAACATGCCTGTCTGTT